ACCTACCTACCTACCTACCTACCTACCTATCTATCTATCTATCTACCTATCTATCTATCTATCTATCTATCTATCTATCTATCTATCTATCTATCCATCCATCCATCTAATTATTTATCTACTACCTACCTACCTACCAATTTTTATTTTTATTTTTTTGTAAGAATGGGGAGGCAGGCATTTTCCAAAAGACAAAAAAAAAGTAAAAATTTTTAGATTAGTCTCAATCTGATGGAAGCAAATGACTGGTCTGTTCCTACCAGCATGAGTTACTGTGCTTTATTTTTTATTTTTCTCATGAGTGCATTAACATTAAATAGAACTTTATTGAGGAAATCCTTGGGCTGAGGGTAAGTAACTGAGAAGCAGCTGCCCGCCTGCCTTGGCATCTGGTCTGGGTGTGATAAAGGCTTGACGGTAAGCAACATGCTCAGAGTCAGGAAGCACTGTGGACCTCAACCTGCAAGGTTCTGCATCTCTCTCCTCGAACACAGATGGGGGTGCTGGTTTTTGTCCCTCTCCCCTGTACAGTTATCCCCGCTTCAGGCGAGCTCATTATTTCTAAACCCCCATCCAGCCCTGTGGGAGGGCAGATGCTGAAATGACAGCAGTCTCCCTGGGGGGAGGAAGAAGAGGTAGCCATAAGGAGAGAGAGGCTTTATAGCTAACACTGAGCTAGCTGGGGGCAGTGGGAGTGGGTGGGTAAGTGTAGGAAGGACCTCCCTTCTTCACACAATTAGTAGGGTTTCTTTCTGTGAAATTTTACAGTCTTGAGATAAGAATTAAATAAATGTCTCAGCCTTTTCCTATTATTAGCTTTTAGTAAGAAATCTATAAAGTTCTGCAAAATGTTTAAGTCTCAGCAATCACTCCAACTAAACTTCATGAGAATTGGACTTACATGTTTTTTCTGAATGTCTACATCTCTCTGCACGGTTAATGTGAGGTCATTTCACACCTTCGTTGTTTCAAGGATACGAGAAAGTCAGTGGATGCATCTTGCTCTGTTCTTCTCACTATGTAGACTCAGGAAAAACCATGACCTGCCTCGTGCCCAAATACAGGAGGCTTGGAGGATGTGGAGTCAGACTTTGATGTAGTGAGAGGAACTAGCTGAAGTGAAGTAATTTAGTGCTTGTTTGGAGCCCCTGGAGTGTGCAAATGGTTAACATGCACTTGTGGCTGCTACCCAAAGGTTGGAGGTTTGAGTTTAACGAGAGGCATCTTGGGAGAAAGGTCTGGTGATCACCATTGAAAACTGTGTGGAGCACATCTGCACTATGACACACATAATGACCATGATTTTCCCTAGTCACCATCAAGGTGACCTTTCAGACACCTGTTTATCTTATTCCTTTCAAGTTGTAATTGGGTTGACAATTGGCTTGTCACTGGATGTTTGGGATGCTCTAAGGTACAGAAAGTATTGAGAAATATAAATCAGCACCTTCATAATTGGTATATTTTCTGGATTTCTTCTTTGCATAATATTTCCAGGGAGAAAAATCCACTCATCAACCATTTTTGCACTTAACTTTAATACGTTTCCTCACTGTCTGAGATTTGAGTATGTTACTCTCAAGGTAGACCCTGTGTCGGCTGGCTGTTGGGCAGGATGCAGTATTCTATCCTGTGTCTCATTGATGAACTAAACTTGTCAACATCATCGCCTCAAAGAAGCTCATCATTAAAGCGGCCACTCAAACAGAATGAGTCTGTATCGACACTGCACTGCCAAAATTTAAATCTAGCTTAGGGCTAAAGATATGAACAGATTCCAGCTTTATGACTTTTACTTAAGAAGGTATTTTTCACCAGGTGCCTGACTTGGTCTGGTGCTTTTTAATCATCTTCATTTCATTTATCAGTACTTTGGGTATTCCCCTACTTCAGTCCTGCAATTTGGATTGAGAACAATAAAGTCCAATAGTTCTCCATTAATAGGTTAGAAATAGCACCATGGGAGGCAATGAACATTTAAACTTTCCCAGGGTCAAAGTCCATCTAACCATGGTGTATTTGGACAATTGATATTGATAAAAAATTTCCACTTGCTTGATGGGTGAGAGTGAATTTTTAAACTGAACATTGTAATTGAAAATAAAATGCCTCTGAATCCATTTTTTGAGATAGGTGGATGCTACCCAATGAAGTGACAAAGAAAACTGCAAACTGAAAGCTGAGGGTTATGAGGTCGAGCTGACCACTGTGTCCTGAAGCTACCACCCCAGCTTCCAGAGGACCAGGCAGGCCCACGAGGACCAAGGAGGGCGGGTGGGCAGCCTCCCCTCTCGCCATCATCATCAAACCTGGAGAACAAGCTTACCTTCCGAGTGAGTCTCCTTTTGATCTCTCTTTTCTCCTCTTGTTCCTCTTGTTCATTGCGAGCTGAAAGAAAGATGGAAGACGCTTTGGATTCTGGTCAGTGACACACACAGGTGCATCCTTTCAGTCTTTGCGGGGCCCTAGGCCAAGCACCTCAGTTTGAAAAGGGGAAGAGAAAGCTCCTGCCCCTTCCCCTCTGCTTTCCAGACTGAGCTGAGCACATTGACCTTTTCATTGTATTTTCTTTATGTTGCATGGGGTTTTCAGTCCCCAGGCAGAAGCCTGGGGGTAAGAAACAGGATGACAGGCCAGGGGTAAAGTCTTACAAAAGTAGTCATGCTGTGAGCAGGGACACAGACATCTGGGAGGAAGAGAGCCTCCCTTCACCGGACAAGACCTGGCCTCGCTCAAGCCCATTGTGAGGTGGCCTGGTTTCTGATGCATTGTGGGAGTAGAACAGAAGACCGGCTCCAGGAAGTACCTGCCTCTTACTGCAGAGACAGAGCAAGGCAGCGCTCTGGTGGTACTGTTTGTAGTTTATTCAGTGCCCAGCAGCGAACCAAAAGGTTGATGGTTCAAGTCCACCTAGAGATGCCTCAAGAGACCAATCCTGGTGACCTATTTCTGTACAGTCAGCCACTGAAAACTCTACGGAGCACAGATCTACTCTGACAACATGGGGTGATCAGGACTCGGAGACAACTTGACGGCAACAGATTTTGGTTAGAGACCAACGAAAGGCTGGCAGGCAGCATTGCAAGGACCTTTAAAACTCTCACCTGTAGCAAGCCCTGACTGCATTAATTCTTTGAATCTTCCGAGAAGTCCACAGAGCATGTGTGAGGTCACGGTGTGGGGCACAACTGCCTGCATTTTAGACTTTGAAGGAATGTCTTAAGAGAGTAGACTTCAGAGCCTAAATGTTCTCAGCATAACGCAGTCAGATAGTTAACTGAGCCCGTAGGTAAGTAGTCTGGGGAAGGGAGTGGAAACAGTAAAGGGCAGGAAATCCGGGCTTATTTTAAATACTACGTCTCCTGAATGGCCTTGGGTTGGCGAGCGCTTTCCTTGTAGGCTTTGGGATAGAATCCTAGATTGAATGAGCCTAGTATTGTTTAATCTGAAGGTAATCTTAGAAACCAGCTAGTGTCAAAGTCAGCAATCACCTCCAGTTGCTAAAGATGCCCCACACAGTAATCTTATTTTGAAATCACTGGTGTTACTCAGTAACTTAGGCAGGTTGTTAGTGGTGGTGGTGGTTATGTGCTGTGGAGTTGGTTCCAACTCATAGCGACCCCGTACAGGGTTTCCGAGGCTATAAATCTTTATAGGAGCAGAAAGCCTCATCTTTCTCCTACAGAACCGCTGGTAGTTTTGAACTGCTGACCCTGAGGTTATCAGCCTGATTCGTAACCACTATGCTACCAGAGCTGTCCTAGTATGGAACTGGTCGTTCAAACAGAAATCCTGTCCCTCCTTGCCCTCAAGCAGCGGCAACTAGAACCCAGCCAGCAATTCCCATTAGAACAAATGACGGGGGTTCCAAGTAGAACAAGACCCCATGGGCACGGACAGTATGGCTGCCGTGACCTTTGGAGATCAGGGCCTTGTATGGAGGCAGCCTAGGAAATGCCACACCATGTGATGGCTATGGGGCCACCAAAGGGTCCCACATGGTGCCTGGAATCACCTTTATTTGGATTGGAAGATTCTAGATTCTTTCTTTAAAATGCAAATTTAACTTGAATAAAAACCAGTTACACTAGTGAGCCATTAATACCTTACTATGAATTCACATATCAGAGATAAACTAAGAATGGGGAGCCAGACAGCAAGTCAGGGAAGAAGGGCGATCCCAGACATATTTGCAGGTTGGAGGAGGAATGGAGGGAAACATCTAGTCTGGAAGGTGAGTGCCCAGGAAACGTAAAATGTGTAAAAAGTTCAAATGTAAAGAATTAGACTATGAGGGTCCCCAGGAGCTAGCCACCCACTAGCCTACCACTCTCGGTTTCCAAATGAGGACAAAAAAAGCCCAGGCTGGTCACTGTTACGTGGCGTATCCACCTCTTCTTTCTCACTAGAACACTCTGCTGCTTCCCACACTGCCTTCTTCTCAGGGCTGGGCCTTCTCCTGAGTGCTGGCTATGGGCTCTGGACTCCCGACTCCCTCTACTCTACAGGCCAGTTCTGAGCCCCAAATGATGCAGTCTGGGATACGGTATGGAAGCCTGTATATCCTATGTAAGTAGGTTCTTATGTCCCTTTGAGGGCAGGGTCACAAATAGCACCTGTAAAAACCTATACCTTTAGTTCAAAGCGAGTTACCAACCCAGTGTCATGAATTCTCAGGCAGAGGCTACCAATACAACCCCATTAGGCAACTGGGGCAAGGCCAGAATAGCTCATGAGGTCATCGTTAGGGGCACCCCTCAGAGGGATCATTGTGTGCTCAAAGGGAGCCAGGGGCTGGTCAGCAGACCCAGAGCTCAGCTCCATTGCTGGTCATGACGTCTTTGTAATACCCTTGGCTCTCACTTCCTCATTGGCTTTAAAGCACAGATAACATGCTTTAGAGCTAAGTATTTTAAGCTATTTCCTTATACCACTAAAGAGTACGTGTTAACAATCACAATAAACCAAAATTTCAGAATTTACGTATTGTTATCTTGCTGGGGCTTTCAGGGGTTGGGGGTGGGGGAAGCGATCCATTTTAGAAAATGTTTTATGACAAATCTATGAAATGATTGTCTTGTTTGAGGTTGCTCAAATACTTTGAAAAATTTTAATATCTCAACATTTGATGTAGCTACTTTATTTCTTAATCAGTAATTTATAACTATGTTGACAAAAAAAAAAAGGAAGGAAATGATTCCAAGGGAACAATAGGGATAAATCTTTTATAGCCTCACTTTAAGTGCCCCGGTGGCACTGTGGACTAGGCATTGAGCTGCTAACTGCAAGGTCAACGGTTTGAATCCAGCAACCACTCTTTGGGAGAAAGATGAGGCTGAGGCTGTCTTCTGTGAAAAATGATCATCTCAGGTCACTATGAGTTAGAGTGGACTCCATGGCAGTGGGCTTGGTTTTAGGTAGCCTCCATTTGGTCCACTGATCTAAGCCACCTGTATGTCAATGGCAACAGTCCACGGAGGGACAGTCTCCTCACCGTGCCCGACAAGTCTGAAGTGGGAGCTAGTACCTTCAGGAAGCCTGAGGTGAGCTGGGCTATTCAAAAACCTCACCCCTGCTTAAATGAGCACTATTTTCTGAAGCCTGAAAAAGTTCCCCAGAAGTGCATAGCTCCCTTCAGTTCTGAAGTCTAGTCAAAGGCACAGTACAGTGGTCTTACATGTAAGCTGTCCACAGATTCCCTCAGATGACTACAGGTCCCAGCTATGTATGCACGAGTGAAGGTGAGAGAAGATGAGAGTCTTCCTCACTTCTGATTTTAGGACTAAATGGCAACCTGTCTCTGTTTTCCTTTATCGGGGATCAGGTATCACATGGGTACAGAAAGACATTATCATACAGATTGAATGCTCCCATTAAACATCCTAATTCTGTTTTGTGGTATTTTAAATTTAGAAAGGAGTTCAAATAGCTAATGCTCAACTCAACTGTTAACCAAAATGTTGACGGTTCAAGTCTCTCCAGAGGTGCTTAGGAAGAAAAGTCAATGGAATGTGGAGCCCAGTTCTACTCTGACATACATGGGACTGCCAGGAGTTCAAGTCAACTCAATAACAACTGATGTTTTTGTTTAGTTTTGAAACTTAGAAGTTTTAAGGGGTTAGAATAAAAGTATATATAAATTCCTAGTGTCTAGAGGTCAACTCAACTGAGGAAGGTCAGTCTGAAAATAACATCCAGTGAGAAGTGGGGAAGTAATGGTCGGTGTGGAGGAGTAACCAGCCGTTGATAAAGGTAAAAAGAAAGCTGATGACAGCTCTGGAAACATGGGGGTGGGACTCAACAGAGCTCCGTTAGCAAACCACTCAATACTGACCAAGTCACAAGACCACAATGAGGAAGGGTAGAAAGGTAAAATCTAAGAATGTTTCAGTTTGGTCTAAGTGGAAATTACCAAACACTCAAACGGATGGTTTCACAAGATTGATTTACCTATGTGTATTGCAAACATAGCATTGCCGTCAAACTCTATATAGTATGTTCGTTTTTTTTTTTTTTTTTTTTCTGGAGAAAAATTAGAAGGGTGTATGTGAGGGAGAGACCGAGAGACAGAGTCTGCATGTGAATGTGTGTGTGAGACTATGAGAGAGTGAGCGAGAGTGTGAGGGAGCGAGAGACAGATCATGAATTCAACTAAAATGCCTTCTCTTTTGATTCTCTTGAGGAATCTTGGTGAAAGATTGAGCAGCTGTGGGATGAATGGCTTTAATTTCTAATTATTTAAGATCTTCCACTCGATGAAGACACACTGGTGTCCTTGAGATGGTTTTATTTTAGCACTGTGTCTTCATTTTTTTCTTTGAGCACGCATTGAATTGTCTCTGAGCCATCTCTGTGCCCTCAACCAAACAAGGAGCTTGTCTATCTGTTCTTGTCCCGTGGCCACTGTGGTAGAGGGTGCATTTTTTGGATGAGTGTCTCAGCACGCCCACCACTGCCCAGCTGTGGAAGTTCTTATAGATAGGAACTTTCTTTTGGAAATGCTGTCCTAGACTTTAATTCAATGTTTGAGGGGCTTTTATCGGCAGCAGCAAGCTGCAAAGCAAAGTCAAGTTTTCCAGTCCCAGGTGCAAACATATATATCTATTATTTCCAGATGTTTCTCATCACTCCAAAGAGAAGCCCAATACCCCTGACCCAGCCCCTGCTGTTATTGGTAAGCATCATTGAGTCAATTCTGACTCTTAGTGACCCTGTCCTGGTGTGGCACTGTAGGATAAGCACTGGACCACAAGGTTGGCAGTTCAAAACAGGGTTTCTATGAGTCAGAATCAACTCGACAACACACTTAATAACAACATAAGGGTTTCCAAGGAGCAACTGGTGGGCTTGAACCGCCAACCTTATGGTTACCAGTTCAGTGCTTGTTCTACAGTGCTACACCAGGACTCCTCTCCCCAGCACCTGGTAGCTACTAATAACCTTTTGTCTATATATATTTGCCTATTCTAGATACTTCATATACACAAGCTCATACAAAATTTGTCCTTTTGTGTCTGCCTTATTTCACTAAGCCTCCGTGTCACAGCATGTATCAGAACTTTGTATCTCTGTATGACTGAGTGATAGTCCATTGTGTGCATAGACCACACTTTGTGTGTCCATTCACCTGTTGATGGACATCTGAGTGGTGTTCATCTTTTGGGATACTAATCCTGTGAACAATGGTGTACTGGTATCCCCTGCTTTTTGGAACGTTGCCTTTACGCCACTTAACTTTTATGAGCGACCTATATTATATCTGTTTCCCCTAACCAAAAGAAACCAGAAGAAAAGTAAAGCTGGCATCCAGCAGCAAGATGTTAACGAGTCAGAGTTCACCCCAAACTGGGAGAGGGGCAACACCACGCTTCTCCCAGAGGACTGTACTGCACAAGGGACTTGCAAAAAAACTTCTGGAAAAATTCCAGTATCTTTCTATTCCATTTTCCCATGACCTTTTTGAAGGCCCCTCATACATACATCAGATAGGTTATATAACATGCCATTCCTACTTTTACTATACGTTAGTGTTATTTGAGTCCTGATGTGGTGCTGTAGGATAAGCACTCAATGCCCAGGTCCGTTTGAACTGCAAGGCTGGTGGTCCAAACTCACCAGCTGTTCCTTGAAACATCCTATATAGGATGGCTGTGAGTTGGAACTGAGTGAATAGCATTTAACAACAACAATGTTATTTTAAGTTTTATGTGTTATTTGTTATGATTCAATAGGTTACTTTTTGTGTCTGGGAACATTAAAAACATTTTCCCATATAAAATAATGGTAACTGCTTCATCATTTCAGCTCATGAAAGGTTTCATAAGAACCATCTACTCTCCAAGAGTGGGGAGAAACTGTGCCAGCAATTAATATATTTTAACCACCAACCCTTAAGATTTAAGCCAATTTTGGTACAAAGTTGGCCCTAATGTTCTTCATAATCATTTATTAGTAAGTTCTAATTTTTATGATTCTCCCTAATTTTCAAGTTAACTAAGGATAGATTCTGACTGCAGTCTTTGAGGTTCTAATGAGCAAAGTGGATTAGGATTTGCCTTCTCTAAGGAGTCCTGGCACTATAGGATAAGCACTGAACTGCTAACCTGAAAGTCAGTGGTTCAAACCTACCAGCCGCTCCTTGGAAACACTAAATATAGTAGTTTTGTGTTTGAACCGACTCTATGGTACTTAACAACAAAACAGATGTTTAAGGAGTCCTGGTAGCACAAAGGTTAAGTGCTTGGCTCTAACCAAAAGGTCTGACCCCACCAGCCTCTTTATGGAAGATAAATGTGGTGGCAGTCAGCGTCTGGAAACATTACAGAGATTGCCTCCTTGGAAACCCTATGGAGCAGTTTTATTCCATCCCACAGGGTTGCTGGTATGGCGCTGTAGAATAAGCACTGGACTGCTAACCAACTGCTAGTTTGGTGATTCAAACCCACCAGCTGCTCCTCAGAAACTATACACAGGGTCGCTATGAGTTGGAACTGACTGGACAGCACTTAACCACAACAGCATAGGGTCGCTATGAGTTAGTATCGACTCAGTGGTAATGGATTGGTAATTTGTTTTTTTGATGGGCTGTTTCTTGGATGTTGCAATAGGTAAGGGTGTAGTCTTAACAATTAAAACAGTTCCCAAACAATCCTAGCCATGAGAATTCTACTGGTGACCTGCAGTTAAATAACAATCTAAAGCCACCACAGAGTGTCAGTGATCATTATGGGGTTCGTCACTTACGTTTCAAAATGTTCCTCTGCTCCAATTCCTCTGCAGTCGGCCTCTGGCTCAGCCGCCTACGGAAAAAATCCAGGAAAAGTTTTTGGACCATATCATATCCTTCTTGGGTCATTAATTTCCCCAGCACTTGTAGACACATGAGACTGAGCCAACAGCTGGAGTTCTTGTTCCATCCTGTGTTCTGAGAGGACTGACTCTCACCAGCAACGCCTCTCACAGTTCCTCAATTTCAACCCCAGGAAGGGCATCGGCCTCACGTCACAGCAAGCTGACCCTCCTCCTTCCTCCAGTGCCCCCTTCCCCCATGCCCTCTAGGCAGGAGAACTAAAGCCCAGCCTGGGCTCTTCTCTTCACAGGAACCCTTTCTTTCCTGGGGTCTTCTAAACTTGGGCCATGGCCTCTGCACGCCCCTCCTCCCACAAGACTAGAGCTTGCTTCACGCCACGTTTGCCCAGCCAGTTAGACATAAAGAGGCTCATGTTTGGGGAGAGGCGAGGGTGCTGGTCTCCCCTGCAAAGAACAATAGCTGCTCTTCTTCTTGTCCCCACCCATCACCATCAGAGCCTTATTAGACCTTGGGATGACAAATGTTGCCAAACGCGTAATTTAGTCACGGCAAAAGAAACCCTATAGCAGAGGTATGAACTTGCTAGGCTACTGTGGAATGGGGGAGAGCACACAGTAGGTAGGGTCTGAGCTGCAGAAGAATCCGTGAATGGAGCCAAAGGAGGGAATGACACCCTTGTGTGTCCACATGAAGTTCCAGGATTGGGCAACACAAACACAGTGGGTCTGGGTAATAACAGAGACATTTATGTATTTGTTAAGGGCCATCGAGTCAGTTCTGACTCATAGTGATCCTGTATAAGGTTTCTGAGGAGCGACTGGTGGGTTTGAATTGCCAACCTTTTGGCTCAAACCTTGCAGTCCAGCAGTGCCACACCAGGACTCATATCTATCTGTCTGTCTGTCTGTCTGTCTATCTATCTATCTATCTATCTATGAATGGTGGTGTGCCATGGAGTCGGTTCCGACTCATACTGATACGGTTTCTGAAGCTGTATATCTTTACGGGAGCAGAAAACCTCATCTTTCTCCTGGGGAACAGCTGGTACTTTCAAACTGCTGACCTTGAGTTTAGCAGCCTGACTTATAACCACTACACTACCAAAGCTCTCTCTCTCTCTCTCTCT